ACAACCCTCAAAGGGTGCCGGAATTTTCGTCTCTGGAAATTTCGTCTCCAAGACTTTTCGGAACTTTCGTCTCCAACAATTTCGGAATTTTCGTCTCCAGCGGAATATTCGTCACCAAGGAAATAATCGGAATTTTCGTCTCCGCAATTTTCGTTTCCGCTAGGAATTTTCGTCTCCAGAGAAAAACTTACCAGTTGACGGAACAACTTCCCCCGTTGACGGGGAAGTTGTCCTGACAACGGGGGAAGTTGTTCCATCAACGGGGGAAGTTGTTCCGACACTGGGGATAGTGTTCAGTCAATGGGGGAAGTTGCTCCGTCAACGGCGGAAGTTGTCCGTCAACGGGGGAAGTTGCTCCGTCAACGGGGGAAGTTGTTCCATCAACGGGGGAAGTTGTTCCGACACTGGGGATAGTGTTCAGTCAATGGGGAAGTTGCTCCGTCAACGGCGGAAGTTGTCCGTCAATGGGGGAAGTTGCTCCGTCAACGGGGGAAGTTGTTCCGACACGGGGGATAGTGTTCAGTCAATGGGGGAAGTTGCTCCGTCAACGGGGGAAGTTGTCCTGTCAACGGGTGAAGTTGTCCGTCAACGGGGGAAGTTGCTCCGTCAACTGGTAAGTTTTTCTCTGGAGACGAAAATTCCTACAGCGCTGAAAAGATTAAAATTTACGGTTAGACACGATTCCGTGCGCACGATTCCGTGCACACGTTTCCGTGCACACGATTCCGTGCACACGTTTCCGTGCAGGCACGTTTCCGTGCGGGCACGATTCCGTGCACACGTTTCCGTTATAAAAAACACGTTTCCGTGCCCAATTATTTAAATATTTTTATTTTTTTTAAATTTTTATAAAAAAATTTTAAAAGTTATATTTTTTTATCAACTTTGCTTCAGTATTTTTCTTTTCAATTCAAAAAATTTACGCGGAAAAAAGTTTTTGCCGCTGCGGAGGAAGCCGGGCATGTCGAGCGGAACGACGGCCGCCGCTTCGCTACGGTCGCCGCGAGCGTAGCGAGCACGACCGCAGCGAAGCACGGCCATCGTGTAGCGAAGACCATGCCCGGCCTACCCTCCGTAGCAGCACAAAAACAGTTTTTCCAGCGAAGATTCTATTGGTCATAGGTTAGAAGCAGGGTTCTTCTAATTTTTTTAAAATTAAAAAAAATTTTTTTGAGATTTTTTCCTCCATATCCACCAATATCCCCTTGTTGATGTCTCGATGTCATGCACAAGTCCCTTGATATTCACTGTACTCCTCGAAACCTTTTCTTATTGTTTATTATATTAAAAAGAAATTGAGCACGGAAACGTGTTTTTTATAACGGGCACGGAAACGTGTGCACGGAAACGTGTGCACGGAAACGTGTGCACGGAATCGTGTGCACGGAAACGTGTTTTTTATAACGGGCACGGAAACGTGTGCACGGAATCGTGTGCACGGAATCATACCCCACCGTAAAATTTATGTACAAAAAAATTAGCGTTAGGAACGCCAAAATTTGGCGCACACCCAATGTTAGCTCTATTATTTAGTAAATCGAAATTCCCTTTAAATTAAAATTACAATCTTTCTCTTAAACCCAACTCAAATCCCCATCCTTTATTATGCAATTATCCACTGTGGAAATTCCATTGTAGGATTGTCTCACTTTCCAGTTGGATGGCCGCCCATAGTTTTTTCTAGAGACTGTTTGACCACTTGTAATAAAAAAATAAATTTATTTTTGTGTTTATTTTTTTATTTATTGGAAATTACATATTTTTTCCCAATATATTTTTATTTTTAATACAGATATTTCATCTTATTTTAATTTTTTAGCAATTTTTTATGGTTCTAATTTTATTTGCTTTATTATTTATTTCTATCCCTTCTCTTGTAAAACCTTCAAAAGAGGTTTTTGCTGAGAATCTATTTGTTAGTTCTTTGAATAATGGTGATATAATTACAATTTTTAATTTTACATTATCTTCACAAAACAATGAAGGTTTTCTTTTAATTTTTAATTTAAAGTTATAAATTTATTAGACAATTCAATTTACATGCCTTGGCTTTTTCTCCATCTTTTTGAACAATTTTCTCTAGAAAATTTTAAATTGACAATTTCTCAAGGATTTTGGCGAACGAATTTATGGGGCTATCAACATGTAAATACTGGTGTGGCTAGTGGAACTGAATTATCTGTTAAATTTTTTGACAAAACTAAAAAGTATATTTTTTAAGTAAAATTTAGAAAAATCTTTTTTAGTACATATCAAAAATGGCATGATTTTATACATTTAATTAATGGACTGTTTTGTACTTCAATTTTGGGACTTTTACCACAATTCAGTGTTCAACCAAAATTTAATGATGGTTGGTGGTATGGGTCTCTTGGAGGGGAATCTGTTTGTACTGAAAATTTACAATCGTGGAAAAGGTTACTTCCTTGTAAAAAGGTAAATTTTTTTGAATAATGAAGACTTATAATTTCTAATGCAAATTTTTTAAAGAGTGGACTTGCTTCTCTTTTGAAGCCAACATCTCTTCTATCCACTAGATTTCATTCTATTACTATAGAAATGAACAAGCTTAACAAAGATGGACATTTTGGCAATTTTCATTTAAATCTTATTTCAAAAACTGTTTATAATTATCAATCTTTTAAAGGTTTTTTTTAATTTTTTGAGAAAGAAAATTTTAATTTTAGAATTTACTCTTCAAAATTTGTTTAATTCTAAATTATTTTCGCGTTGCCCTGTCTCCATTCAAAGTCAGCTTTTAATTAAAAAGGTTATTTAATTTTTAATATTTTTTATCTTTTAATTATTTTAGTCCAAATATTTTGATGTAATTCTTCCAAGTTTTGTCATCACTCAAACTTCACAAAATTCTGATTTAGTGGTTATTGACTTAAACAATAATTCGTCTTTTAATTTAAATAAATTTCGTTTTTTGGCAAAGGTTGACAATACGCAGCACTATACACATTCCCCAACAATGTAATTTTTATCAAATATTTTTTATTTATTCTTCGCTATAAATTTAATTTTTCCTACTTTTAAGTTCATTACATTCATTCTTGAAGAGTGTCAGTCAAGTTGGTGGCCGTATCTGTATTCAAATAAATAATCCATTTCAACATTCATTCAACGCTCGATTTATGCAAATGATTCCCTGGCAAATACGTGTATTTCTACATACTTTGACATTTGTTTGTTCAAATAAATCGAAAGAGTCTATGGATTTCTTTGGCGAATACACGCTTGCAAGGGATGGAGTGAGGCCTTTACTTATTGAATTGGATATTCTTTTACCGGCAAATTCCAAATGTAAAATTGAATTTGAATTCGAAGCAGCATTTTTAAAGTTTTTTATAACTTTTTTATAAAATTTTTAAAAATTTAATTTTAGAATATCTGAATTTCCTCCAGATGCTAATAGTGGTATTCATGTTCCTGGCGCTGTTCTTTCAATTTCACAGAATGATTCAACAAATTTGTCTATGTTTAGGTTATTAAAAAATTTTTAAAAATTGTTGGTTTTTAAGTTGCTTTGCTAAATTGAATTTTTTTCTTTTACCGGCAAAATTTTTTTTACTTATAGTAAAAAAATTTCTCTGAAATTATTTGAAAATTCTTAATATTGTTGAAGAAAATTATTTTTAATAAAAAAATTTTTTACGAACAATTTTTCAATTTTTTAGTACATTTACAAACAAATCAGCAAATCAAAAAATATTTGGCGAGCCGTTACTTATTCTTCTCCCTGTGCCTGATTTTAGTATGCCATTTAATGTAATTTGTTTTGTTTGTTCAACAATTGCTATTTTTTATGGAAATATATTTGCTTTGAGTACAAAATTGTAAATTAATTTAAATTAATATTTAAAATTAAAGAAAATATTTTTTAGAATGAAACTTTTCCCTAAAGAAGAAAAATTGTTAGAAAATGAACAGGAATCTACGCTAACAATTAAACAAAAAATAATTAAACGTTTTTTAAATTTATTTTCTCGTTAAAAATTTTTGATTAATTAATAAACGGGTAAACCAATTTTTTTTAATTTTTTGTTTTTTCACATTAATTTTTGTTTATATATTTTTTGGATTTATGGATGGATTTATTAAATTTATTTATTCATTAAAGCTTTTTTAAGAAGGCGTTAAGAGGCATTTTCTTTTAGAAATTAAAAATGAAGTTGAACTCTAACAAAAATGGGACGATTCGTAAAAAGACTCCGGTTTGTATTTTTTTTTTATTTTTAAGTTTTTCTTTATCTATTCAGAAGAGGGAGATTATTGATAAACTATATGTTTGTAAAAAAGAATCAAAAGAATTTTCGAGTGAATTGGAGCCTTTTCGCGTGCGAACTCGTTCAATGGTTCGTGGTCAACAAAAAGACTCAGAACGAACAAATAATGCTATCGAAAAGTAAGTCGGAAAAAATATTCTTTTTTATTGTTTATACTTATATTTAAGACATTCTAAGTCTATCCAAAATGTGCCGATTCTTCAAAAAACTCCGGTTTGTACTTTTTTACTAGTCTGAAAAATTTTGTTAATTGTAGAAAAATTTCGAGTCCATTAAAAAACCTTTACAAAGGAGGAAATCGAAGTTAATTGATCGACAATTTTATTCAAAGGACCGTTATTTAGATGATTTGGAGCCTTTTAAAATCCAAACTCGTTCAATGATTCGTGGTCAACAGAAGAACAAGGAACGAACAAATAATGCTATCGAAAAGTGAGTCGGAGAAAAAATATGCTTTTAAATTAGCTTAATTATTTAATTAGCTTTATTGTTTATACTTATATTTAAGACATTCGAACTCTAACCAAAATGTGACAATTCTTCAAAAAACTCCAGTTTGTATTTTTTATAATAATTAATCTTGTTACAAAATTATTATAGAAGAATTCGGATTGCGCTAAAAAACCTTTACAAAGGAAGAAGTCGAAGTTAATTGATCCACAATTTTATCCAGAGGACGATTATTTAGATGCTTTGGAGCCTTTTAAAATGCAAACACGTTCAATGGCTCGTGGTCAGCAGAAGAACAAGGAACAAACAAGCAATGCTGAATCGTAAGTGAGGGCAAAAATTAGATTGTGGTTTTAAAATTAACTGGTTTATAAGCATACAAAGCTCATAAATTTTATAACTACGAAATTTTTAAAAATGTTAAATTTATTTCAGACATCCTTTGGCGGCTAATGGTGAAAATTTCGACGACAATGAGGTATAAATATATTTTTTGTGATTATCTAGTATTTTTTAAATTAATTTAGTCCGCGTTCCGAGGGGCTTGGCAGCCTCCAATGCCGACTATCAATGTTGAAAATGTTATGCTTCGTTCTCAAGTGTTGAATCAAGTTTGCAACGAATTTGGATTAAAATATCATTCGTTAATGTTTGTTTTTATTTAAATAACAATTTTATTTATTTTTTTATTAATTTTAAGAGATAATATGTGTTTTATGGAAACATATTATATTTCTTCCAAAGCAACATCAACTAGGCTTACATTAAATATTAATCAAACATTTAATGGAGAAATTGTTAAATTTCAATATACTTGTAGCGAAAGTGGAAATATTTTAAACTTTCATTGGCCATTTTGCAATTTAAGTTTTGTTTGGGCATTTAGAGGAATTTGTGTAGAAGCATTTTTTCCAACAATAAGAGAACAATTTGGCCATCCACAAATTGAAGAACCAAATGATGAAGAATTTGCATGCCAAAGTGCTGAAAAGAACTTTTCAATTTTTGATGTTCACAATGAATTGAGATTGGATGAATTAGCCAATGACTTGATGCTTATTTATTTGCAAAAATTGTATGTAGAGTTTATTGTTTTATGAGGAAAGGGAGGGGGGGGGGAATGTTGAAAGACTCCTTCCTAATTTTTTTAATTAAAAATATTTTTGTTAATTCTCTTTAAATTTAGTACACCAAGAAAATACAGAAATCATTTAATTTTCAAGGAGGAAAATCCGAAGACTAATTTCCAACTACATTTTACAGAAACTAGAGATTCTATTTGTGTAACAACAAAAATATTGCGGGTAAAAAATTTTAAGAAAGTCGATGAAGAGAAATGGCCAAAATTTACGAGGGCCTATTTTCGTTATTCAGTCCTTGGAAAGGCGATGAAGACATTTTATCAAAACCCTATTGACAAACAAATCCAAAATTTTCCTTTAGAAATTTTTATATAAAAATTAACCTTTCAAAGCTTTATTATACACATATTGTTATAAAATTAAAAGTTTTATTCTTTCAACTTCAAATATTAATTGTACACTTTTATTCCATAAAAATACAAAAAATGAAAGAATAAATTTTTTAAATATTCTACTCACCCGGATATTATCACAATTAAGTCACTTTTGGCAAAATATATTTATTTATTCCTCATTATTGTTTTTGCAATCCCACAAACTTTACATTATTGTCTTTCATATTGTTAAAGCAGTTATTTAAATGAGATTTTATAAAAAATTTAAAATTTTGATCTTTTGTGGTATGATTTTTCCCTTAAATATTTCGATTGAATACTTTTAATGGCTTTGAATTTTCCACTTAAATGATTTTGTTTTTTCTAATTTTCTCAATTATTGATTTAATTTTTATTTAGATAGAATGTTTTTATAATTATTTTTATAAATTGATGTTACGTATACAATCAAGATATTTGGCAAGGGGAGTGGGCGCTTTTTTGAGGTTAGACATTTTTATTTTCTAAATAATTATTCTGTTAATTTTTTTAAGAAATGAAGCTGTTTTTCCACGACTAAATTTGTGCGGTCCTTTGTCTTTACGTTTTTCATCTACAGATAAAAAAGGATTTGACGACATACAAAGAACTGTGAAAAGACTTCGTGAAGAAGTTGAAATACAACAACTTGATGAACCGAAGGTTTTTTTGTACTAAACAGACTAAACAAATACCATAATATTTTTAGAAATCGGTTAGTAGACCTTGGCATGTGGAGACTGGCAGATGGATTGTTGACCACTTCAAGAACCCCAAAAAACTTTTGTACATAGGACCAAAACTTTGGTACCTAGTACGTGACCTTTTCGTACATACTTGGCATGGGTTGCGTCTATATTTCCTAGAAGCTTCGATTAGTTTAAAATATATGAGAAAATTGAAGCGGCGATCATTAACTCGAAGAGAAAGAAATCAGGTATTTTTAACACTCATTTTGTCAAATTTTTGGATTATTTGTTATACCCTTTTTCCGCCTCTTTAAATATTGCCTTCTTAATCAGAAAACTTTAAAAGCTTTTTACAACACTTGCTGATACTTTACGTTTGGCACCATTTATGGTATTTATAATTGTGCCATTTATGGATTTTCTTATTCCTTTTTATATCAAATTTTTCCCTCAAATGTTGCCTTCTACTTTTCATGGATTTGTTAAAGAGGTTCTTTTTAAAATTATTTTTTTAAATATTAAAAATTTTTTAGAATGAAAGTAATTTACGTCAATTTAAAGTTAAATTAAAAGCTGCAAAATTTCTTAGAAACACTTTGGATGAAATTGCAGAAATTAACGAGAAGAAAATTGAAGAGGCTTTGGATGAGAAGAAAGCTTATGAATTTTCACAATTTTTGAAAAAGGTTTTTTTAATTTTTCTACTTTTTAAAAATTAAGTTTAAAGGTTAGAGAACAAGAAGATGGTTATGTGACAAATGCTGATCTTTTTAAATTTATCAAATTATTTGAAGATGAATTGACATTGGATAATTTAAATGATTCTCAGTTACAAGCTTTATGTCGTCTTTTGGGAATAGCGAGGATTGGAACAAAAGAAATATTGCGTTTTAGACTCCAAATGAAATTAAAAGAATTGCAAGCTGATGATAGGGTAAATTAACAAAAATGGCATTTTATACACCTTCAGGGCTGTGAAATTAATTTTAATTGGAAATATGTCACACCAATAATAGAAAACTTTAAAATTTTATTTAAAAGAATCTTGGTCTCGAAAATTTCTAAACTATCATTTAGTTAATTGCTGCAGAGGGTGGCGCTGAAATGTTATCTATAAAAGAGCTACAGGCAGCAAATAAAGCAAGGGGAATGCGTGCTTATGGAGTTACTGAAAAAAGATTACAAGATCAGGTTTATTCTTTTCTTTTTAATAAATTTCATAATCTTTTAAATTTTATAGCTAAAACAATGGTTAGAATTATCTTTGGATGACAAAGTACCTCCATCACTTTTATTATTGTCTCGTGCCATGTTCTTTCCTGAAGAGCTTAATTTTACCGAAAGACTTCGTTCAATTATTGCTTCTCTTCCTGAAGAGATTGGAGAACATACAACTTTAAAATTGAAAGAACTTGAAGGAATTGATGATCCAAAAACTAAAATTGAGGTTTTGAAAAGTATTGAATTGTCTTTGAAAGAAGAAAAGCTTGAAGAAATTCAACGTGCTAAAGAAGCTGAAGCAGCTTTTGAACTTAAAGAGCAGCAAAAGAAGGCTGAAGCTGAAATTGAATTGGAAGCAAAACAACAAAAACCTTTGGAAATTCAAGAAGGAGAAGCTTCTAATGAAAGTTCTATTGAAGAGATGGATAAAAGAACTGAATTTGGGATTGAAGATGAAAAGAAAAATTTGAAGAATTTTTCTTCAATTGACAAACAAAAAGAAGAAGAAAATATTAATGATGTGATAAATAAAGAAATAAAAATGACAAGTGTTCCTGAAGTAAAAGAATGTAAAAATGGACAAAAATCTGTTTCTTTATAATACAAATTTGTTAGAAATTAAATTTATAGGTTGATAAAAATATTTAAATATTATTTTTTTTATTTAAAAAATTAATTTTGTTTTGAAAATATTTTTTTAAATTTCTTATTAGATTATTTATATTTTATTAGATTTTGACTTTCAACTAATTTTAATTTGATAAATCCAATTTTACTGATGTATCGTTCAACTCCTCATCGTAACCAGGTCTTCTAAAAATTTCAAATTTTTTTTATTTTTATCTTTAGGATCCCCTCCTTCGTCCTCCAAGGATGCCTGATCGTCCACTTACCCCTTATATGCGTTATAGTAAAAAAGTTTGGCCAGAAGTACGGGCAGAGAATCCGGACAGTCCTCTATGGGATTTTGGAAGAATAATTGGCCAACTTTGGAATAATTTACCTCCTGCTGAGAAATTGGTATATCAACAAGAATATGAAGTTGAGAAGGTTTTAATATATTAGAAATATTTTTAGTAAGCTCACCTTTTTAGTCAAAATATGAGGAGGCTGTGAAAAACTACAACGCTACTTATGCCCAATATATGGCCTCCAAAAGTCGAGTTAAAGGGTCACAACAGGACAAAGTTGGCAGTGGTGGTGTTAATTCTAACAGAAAATTAATGCCAGAAGCAAATGTTCTTTCAGGAGTATTTATTCAACCTGTGGATGATGAAGACCCATTAGAAATGGCTGGGAAGAGAATGGCTGCAATACGTTATGGTAATTGTATTTCTTTATAAATATTTTAAAAATCGCTCCAATTTTCCTTTTATAGATCGAAATAATCGTTTAATGGCAGAATTGTTTTCACCTAATTATATGCCCGATTCCCGAACATTTGTGCCACAACAAAAAATTGAACATTTTCGTAAGCAAAGTCAGTCTTTAGAACAACATCAAAATAAATTAAATGATGAATTGGCAAAATTAGAAGAAATATTTAATCAAAGAAAGAGTGCAATAGAAGAAGTTTCAGAAGCTCATTCGGAAAATATAAAAAGATTATGTCAAGACAAACCTCATTTAGACCAAGAAAAATATAACAAAATTGCTGACGAATACGGAGAAAATTTATTGACAAGTTGGAAACTTTTTGAACAGAAACAGGCAGCAATTCAAGCTAAATTAGGTTTATCTTGAGAGAAATTTTCAATTTTTTAAAATTTTTAGATGCTGATAAACGTGCTAATCCAATACTTAATGATCTAATAATTAGCAAAACACCTCCTTCTTACCAAACAAATGAAGAGAAAACTGATACTGAAAAGGAAGAGGAAAATAGCGAGCAATTAATTAATAGCAATGAAGTAAATGATGAAAGTAAAATGGAATCATAAACGTAATTTTAATTAATTTAAGTTGACTAAATTTTAATCTGCTAATTTAATTTTCCTTAAGACTTTAATTTTCTATTTTTATAAATTTTCAATTTTTTATTTAAAATAAATGTAAGAAAATTAGCAAGGGGGTTTTTTTGAATAGAATATAGTCTATATAAAAGTGGGTGATAATTTTTAAATTTATTTGGAATATGTGCTGTTTTATAGCTCCCTTGATGTAATTAAAGACAATTTATTAGAAGGGAATAATTATCACGAAACTTTAAAGTAATTATAACGAACAAGTTTTGAGAGAGGTTTGTGTTAGAGAGAGTTTTTGAAAAATTCGAATCTTTAATATAAGATCTTCGATATAAACCTCTTCTATAGTTCTTTGGTCTACTCGTACTATTAGTTCCATAATTCTCTTTTTGTCGATTTTCTTGTTTGCTTTATTCATAATGTTGATACAATTGATAATCTGCAACATCACTACTACATTAAATTTTGTAGTTATTAATTTATACCTTCAATTACCGTTCATTATTTCTTTTAATGTTTCCACGGCAACTTAAGTACTTTTACCTATTATTTTCAAAAGTTACATTTTTTTTATTTTACTTAAATAAAGAAAATAATTTTTATTTTATCAACAACCCCATAACTATAAATATGGAATTCGTTCGTCTAGAGGAGAATTATGTACGAAAAGCATATTCTGAATTAAATTTAGCAAATAAATATCGAGGAAAATTGTTATTTGTTACAAATTTCCTTAAAAATTTGCAACAAAATTCTTTAATTTTGGATATTGGTATGTTTGTTTATTAATCCTTTGTGGATATATATCAGGGATAATAACTGTTTCAAAAAATAAAAGATTTCTTTTGTAAACAGATGAATGTCTAAAAAATATTTCGATCGGGGCAAAAGTAGTTCAAAAATTAAATATTTTATAAAAATTAAAAAAAAGGTTGTGGTGAGCATATACATTTACGTAAGGATTGCTTTACAATTGGAATAGATATTTGTTTGCCATTTGAAAGAAAAGAAAAATCAACAAATTCAAATTTTTTACTCTCTAATTTAATGTATTTACCGTTTAGGTAATAAAATTTAAATAAAAGTTTTAATAGTTTCAAAGTTTTTTTTTAAATCAGAGAGGGCGTTTTCGATGCAATTCTGCTTATTTCCGTTCTTCACCATATCCCTGTTGAAGTAAGTAAAAATGCTAAAATATGTATCTCGCGAGCCAAAAAAATATTCTGATTTTATAAATAATGTAGACACAATAGAAAATGCAGAAAGTTCCATGATTTGGTCCTTCCGTGAGTTGGTAAGACCTTGACTTGTCAAGATCATCATTTGTCGATCCTTGCCTTGTATGTATGTTCTTTGAGTTAGCCCACACGCGATAATTTTGTAGAATTTAAGTTTTATCAGTGTATTTATAAATGTGTAAATTAAAGTTAAATTAAAATTTCTTGATAATATTAAAATAAAAAAATATAATTTATTTCTAAAAATAATTTAAAAATTTTTAAAGCAAAGAAGGATAAATTGTATTAAAAAATGTTTATTAATATCCTTGCCCAAATTATCGCATATTTTAATTGTTGTTTGGGCTAAAGAGCAAAAACAATTTTTAGAATTTCCTTCTTCAGATGTATGTTATTTATTTTAAATATTTTTAAATTAAATATGTACTACATAGATACTTGTTCCTTATAATTTGGAAAAACTCTGCATTAAAGGTTGAATTTAATATACATATTTGAAATATATTTTAAATTTAAAAAGGATATTTGAGAGAAATTCCTTTTAATAAATTTAATACAAAGGAACAAAGAATAATTTTGGTAAGATTAGTATAAAATAAAAAATAATTATCTGAGAGGGTTTGAGTAGATTTGTTAATTTCATAATTTATTATTTTTAAAGAATTCTATACCAATTTATATCAAATCAATTAAACAATCAAAATCTTCCAATAATTATTTTATTCAATTACTTATTTTATTTAAAGAAAGAATTAAACAAATATTTAAATTATTAAGAGAAGGATTTTTAAATATTATTAAAGAAATTGAAACAAAAACTTTTATTAATTGTAAGTTTAAATTAATTAATTATTTAATAACTAACTAAAATAACAAAAATAATGTTTATTTGGGAGTTAAACAACTCCCATCCAAAAATACGAAAACCGATTTAGTCAGCAACTGTCATTAATGAGAAAACACTCTTAGAAATGAAAAATCTATTAATAAATAATAGATGGGTTGCAAAAAGAAAAAGAGAACAATACAAAAAATAGTACTATTTTCTTTTTCCTTTTAATTAACAAATATTCTGCGTGTATGTACAAAAGACCGGTGTAAAAAAGACCGGAACGGCCAAAAGGGGGTTAAAAGACTGGCACGGGCAAAAAGCGGTAAAAGACTGATAATTTTACCGGATTAAAACCAAACGGGATTAATCCGGAAAAGTCCGGCTGAATCCGGTTACAACTCCGAAATCCGGGTCCGGCAAATCGATGTTTGATTAATATTTTTTAAATTTATTTTTTTGGGAAAAATTTTCTAAAAATTAATTTATTTATTAATTGAAGTTTTTTTAATATTTTTTTTGTAAAAGGAAAAATTTATTAAAATAAAATTTTTTTAAATTTAAAGTGCGAGGTGAAAATCCTTATGAAAATAATATGAAAGAAATGGACAATTTTGCTTTAAATATTACACAATCTATATTAAATGAAGCATTTATTAAATTAAAATTTTTACAAACAAATGTGCTTAGGTAATTTATTTTGTGAATATTTAAAAGGGAAACTTGTAAAGGGTTAACAAATTAAATTTATTTTTATTTAAAAGATATCGTTATTATCACGTTTTTCAATTTAATGAATTGGAAAGTTTATTTGAAAATATTTTATTTAATTCTGATTTTTGTTTTACAATAGAAAGAAGTGAATATGAACAAGGAAATTGGTGTATTTATATTAAAAGAAATTAATAATTGAAGAAATTTATTTTTAATTTTAAATAAAATATAAAAATTAAATAATTTTTAAAAATTATTTTGAAAATAAATTTAAAAAGAAAATAAAAATTTAGTTAAATTTTTTTTGACATTCAAAACTTTTTTTTATTTTTCTTTTTGTTGCTTTTCTTTATCAATATTTTTATTTTCTTTTATTTCCGCATTGCTGTTTTGTTTAATTTTTTCAATTTTTTTCTCACTACTAAATTGTAACTAAAAAAATAAAATAATTTTTTTTTAAATTATTAATTAATTAAAAGAAAACCTTTAAACGTTCCAAAGGATTTGTTGATCTTTTAATTTTGTAGAGGGCTTTATTCGGTCTTTTCCATTGTTGTTGCCGATTTATAGCCATAGAATCTTTAGCTTCTAATAAAGAATTACAAAACCATTTTGTTTTATTTTTATTATTTTCTTGATGTCTAATTTCCATTTAAATATTTAAAGATTATCTGTATAATTTTATTTTTTGTTTAAAATTATTTAATAAAAAAATATTTTTTGATTAAAAATTGAAAGAAAGGATAAAAATGGATATATAAGAATAAGCCTTTCAATAAAAATATTTTCTGATATCAAAGAAGTTTATTAAAAATTAGTAGATGTTTGGACAAATAAGAAAAAATAAACATAACGTATTTTTCCAAATAAGCCTCACAGATGTCGATCTAAAATAATGAGCCCCGGGGCTTATTTAGGGAAAATACGGTAGTTTATTAAAAATTGATAAATAATAAATTAAACTTCAGTTAGGTTTCAGGAATAATTTAAAATTAAATTCTTAAATTTAATTCATAATAAGAAACTAAGATCAGTATCCCATTTTCAGTAATCCCAACTAAGATTAGTAATCCCATTTTTGTAGTCAATTTGGAAAACAACAAAAATTTTTTTAATTAACAGATTAGTAATTGTTTATTATATGTATTGAATTGAATTTTTTTATATTTTTAAAATTAATTTTAATTTATCTGAGAAATAATCCACATAATAATTTCTAAAATTAATGTTAACTTAAATGATAGTTTAAATAAAAAATAAACAAAAAATCTAAATATAAAAACAGAAATGATTATTTTTATTTAAAAGGGAATGCTGACTAAGAAAAAAATCTCAAGATTGTACCGCCCTTTAAAATAATTGTTGAAAAAAGGAAATAAATCATCGTTTTTAGTGGAAGGTTGTGATTGAAAATAGGCTGACATTGCTGGCTGTTGAGTTTTAAAAGTGAAATAATTTTTAAAAAATAATTTTATTTTTAAATTTATATGTACAAGAATATTATAATTTTAATAATAAAAATTTTTTCCTTAGTCTCAATCTTTTTGTCCCCCTCCAGAGCTAGAACAACTAAATGTAGACATTTGACTATGACGACCACTTTCTGTTTCATTCTTTAATTTTTTAATTAGAATTTTCTTTTAAAAATATATTTTAACCGATTGTGAGAGAACTTGTGAATTTTTGCGGGATGAAAAGTCGTAAAGAAGGGACAAAGAAGGTGTATACGAATTTTGACGTTCAAGTCCTCTCAACAGATCAGGCGGCCCTCCAGAAGTTGGGGAAGGTAAATGCTCGCTAATTACAATTTCGGGAATAAAAGAACCTGAAGACCTTTGAAAAATAAGAGGGAAATATTTTTAATTTATGACTATAAAATTAAGAAAAATATGAAATGAAGGGATTTATGAGTCCTGTCCAGTGTTTGGAATTTTGAAAATTGTTTGTACTCGTACTTTCGTACAGGCCTTTTTTTTATCTCCTACTCGTACTTGCCGATTTTTTTTCTCGTACTCGTACACAGGTACGAGTACGAATTTTGGTACGAGCTTCCAAACACTGGTCCTGTCCTGATATTAAAAAATTAATTAACTAACAATTCTGTTTATTTTTGCATTCTCTTTTTTAAAATTTTTAGATTATTTATTTTAATTTTATAAATTAATCCTTATTTTCCTCAAAAAACTTACTGTACAGAATTTGTTCGGGCAATATTTGAATTATTACAATTTAGTAAAATATGTGGAGATGATTTCCAAATTTTTGAAGTATTTCCTCTACAAAGCCAAGCAGTCACCTAATATTTATTAAAAAATAAACAACTACAAATTTACTTTCTTTTTTGCTTTCCTTAATCGTTTTTTCTGTCTCTGTTGTAAATCTAATTCTTCTCGAAATCTCATTGCATCGAGAAGAGTTTCCACCTTTTTTTTAAATATTTTTTTAATTTTAATTAAAATTAAATAAAAACTTCTACAGTAGACCAGGAACGGCGAATTGAACGAATCATTAAAAGAAGAATAACTGATGAAAACTTTAAAAATAAACTTTAATTTAAATTAAATATTTAATCTAAAAAACCATTAATAAAATAGATATTGTATAAATCATTCTTCCAATATCTGAATGAAAAGCTAAGGGGGAAATGCTGTTAATATTATTGTTATTTTCTTCAATATCTTCTTGTTTATTTTGTATTATATTTTCTTTTCTTTAAAGTTAAATTAATTTATTTTTAATTATTTTTTAAAAATTAATTTATTTACTTTAAACAAAATTGTTCTAACTGAGAAAGGCATGAACAAACAATATTTTGTTTTATATCGTTAATAACCATTTCATTTGAATTATTTAATTGTTGAACTAGAAAACATAATTATTTAATTTAAAAAATTATTTTAGTTATCTATTGAAATTTATCTATTAAAATACAGGTTTTAGTATTTTACCTCTAAGTCCGGCCAACCTAATCCTAGGATTCTGATTTTTGCCAGAAAATAGGCAACTCTTTTAGGATCATAGAAAAATATTAATCAAAGTCTGAAAACATTTAGTTGAATTTTAATAACTATTTAATCCTTTTACCACAAGGGGGGCTAATTATTTATGACACAACCTAAGTACCTTCTCTGCACTTCCCTACTACATAAAAAATGTAGAATTATTTTTTATTTTTACAAAAAAGTCTTGAAATTTTTTAATGAAAGCAATTAATTATTTTATAATATTTTAAAATAATTAATTAAAAAAAACTTTTAACCTTTAGGAAATAAAATATTATGTAATGCCTCAGAATTTTGCTGTGGAATTGTTTGGATGGATATAATTTGTTGTTTCATGGCAACAGTCTTTTTAAAATGAGAATAACGTTTTTAGTAAAACATAAATACAATTTTTAAGTCTTTAAGTATTAAATATATAAAAGAGAATAAAGTAAATATTAAAAGTGAAATCAATTAAAAAAGGAAAAATTTTTTTAGTTAAAAAAATTTTATAAAAAAAATAATAAAGAAATAATTGAGGAGAATAACAAAAAGCATTGTTTTTAGTAAGAGAGAGACACTTTATGTAGATTATTGAACATTTATGTTCAATCCAATTTGATCAAATTTATACGCAATAAAATAAGTGACATTCAGATAAAATATTGTATCTAATAAATTTAAAGTATAAGTGATTTGCTAGAGTTTTTTTGATCTAGAGGATAAATAGTTTTATTGTGATGAATTTTTGTTTAAAAAAATTGGAAATTAACTAGTTTTGTTCGTTTTCCTGTTGTTTCTTCAACTAATTTTTTTAATTTGTTGACCGAATACATACATATCAAGAAATCTATTAGTACACTGAACTTTTTAAAGAGAACTTTCCAAAGGTGAAATAAATTTAATAAGTGAAGCTCGGCTTTGGTTTTTTTATTTTTTTAATAAAATTTTAAATAATTTATTTTCTTTTATCATTTTCTCGTCGAAGCTCCATACTTATCAGTTGATAAGTTTTGGGTATTTTACTAGAGTTAAGAATTAAATTAATATTTTACGCTAAAAGATTTGCGTCTACTTGGCCTGCGCCTATTTGGGCCGTACCCCTTTATTAAATTAGTAAATCATTTTTAGTTGTGTTGATAAGCAAAATTCTTATCAAAAATATTTATAGCTTTTCTTATTTAAATTATTAAAAAATGAATTTAATTAATTCCAATGGTCAATGTTCTACTATAGTCCAAGCACTTCTTACTGACGAATATCAATTAAATATGGTAATTTATTTTATTAAATATTCTTTTTTTTTAAATATTTTCAAAAAAGGCGTATTCTTATTGGCAGCAAGGAATTCACAATAAAACAGCTCGTTTTGAATTATTTTTTAGAAAAAATCCTTTTGAGGTTTTGTTTTAATTTTAATTTTTTAAATTATTTTTTTAATTTTAAGGGGGAATTTACAATTTTTGCTGGTTTAGAGGATTGCCTTAATTTTGTTAAAAATTTTAATTTTACAGAATCAGGTTATTTTTAAATGAGGGCAAAAATTGGTTATTTTTAAATAAAAATTTATTTTTTAAAATAATTTTTAAAAAAAGATTTGGAATTTATTTCACAAAAATTGGCATATGCTGATAAAAACTTTTTTGAATATCTTCGACAATTTAATTGCGAAAATATTATTTTACTGGCAATACCCGAAGGCTCTATTGTTTTTCCTAGAATTCCTTTAATTATTGTGGAAGGACCTTTGGCTGTTTGTCAAATAATAGAGACGACTTTGCTTAATTTGGTTAATTTTGCTAGTCTTGTGACTACAAATGCTGCTAGATTTAGACTGGTTAATTAATTTAATTTTGTAATTAATTTTGAATTTCTTACCCTTTTTCTCTAAAAAGTTCGATTCTTTTTTGGGTTTTATTTTTTTATCGAATTGTTTTAAACATTATTTATTACTTTTGTAACTAATATGAATTTCGGGAGGCCATATCTTGGCCAGATCAAAAAACGGGCAAAAACGGCTCAAAATCCTTGCTAGAAAGGGCATATTCTCTATCGAATAAGCCCGGTCTCGACCGTTTTTAGGTCGGACACCTCGCAACCTCTCCTTGTTAGTCTGGGTCATTTATCTAACAATAAATTATTTAAATGTTTTCATAAATTCAGGCTGCAGGTGATCAAATTGAACTGATGGAATTTGGATTGCGTCGAGCTCAGGGTCCAAATGGAGGATTGTCTGCATCTAAATATTGTTATATTGGAGGTTTTTCCCGATTAAATTTTTAAAATAAAATAATTTTTAAAGGTTTTGACAGTACCAGCAATCTTTTGGCTGGCAAACTTTTTGGAATTCCCGTATCTGGAACAATGGCACATTCTTTTGTTACTGCATTTAAAGATGAACCTTTAAATAAATCAGAATTAGTTAAAAAGGATTCCGATGAAAAATTAGATTTACAAAAAATATCAAAAATTTATTTGGAAAAAATATTCGAAATGGTTTGTCTAAATTAAAAATAATTTAAATTTTCTGATAGTTTGATTGGGGTATATCAAAAGAAGGAGTGAATATTGGTGAATTAAATGCTTTTTGTGCTTATGCTATTGCTCATCCAAATTCATTTGTAGCTCTTATTGATACTTATGATACATTAAGGTTGTTTTTTTTTAAATAATCTAAAAATAAAAAAAATATTAATTTAAATCGAATCTTTGTTGATTTTTAACATTTTTATAAATTTAAATCAAATCTTTTTTTCAGAAGTGGTCTTTGTAACTTTATTGCAGTAACATTGGCACTTAATGATTTTGGCTATAAATCGATTGGTTGTCGAATAGATAGTGGGGACTTGGCTTATCTATCTAATGAAATTAGAAATAGATTTAAATTAATTGCTTCAAGGTTAGAAAAATTTTTTTTGAAATTAATTAATGAGGATATGGGGCTCTACTTTTTTTTCTTTTTTTACCGCAAAATCTTCCAAAACAATTTAATTCAATTCCAAAATGTCATTATCCTCTGCCAGTAGTATACTAGGATAGTCAACGATAGAGTTGTCGTTTCTTGAAAAATTTTCGGATATCCGGAGCCGAACCAATATCCGAACCGAAAGATCTTCGGTTCGGTCCAGAACCGACAACCCTAGTCAGTAGATTTGTCTAATTTTGCTAAATATTCTTGTATTTTTGTTTTGATAATTTTTATTTAAAAGTTTAAAAATTTTTAGTTTTAAAATTGACTGGATAACTAATTTAAAAATTGTAGCATCAAATGATATAAATGAAGAAACAATCCGTTCACTTTATAATCAAGGACATAAAATTAACACTTTTGGTATCGGCACACATTTAGTTACTTGTCAAAAGCAGCCAGCACTTGGATGTGTTTATAAATTGGTTGATTTAGATGGAGAACCGAAAATTAAAATAAGTGAAAATATTTCAAAGATGACAATACCGGGACGTAAAAGTGTATTTCGTTTGTATGGAAAGGCTGGTAATTAATTTTTGAAATTTAAATATTTAGTGACTTTTTTCAAAAAAAATTATTCAATTCCATAAATTCAAAAAAAGGAAAAATTAAAAAATGAGTTAATTTTGTGATCAAAGATTTTTGGCAAAGTTTTGACTCTAATTTTAAATAAAAAACATAAACATTCCTTTAAAAAATTTTAGAAGGGAATCAATTATTTAATTAGAGATATTACTAGTCT